TATTGTCATGTTTTAAGTTTTCAATTCTTTGACACTCTTCCGTAACCTTCTGCAAAGTAATCTCGGAATTTTGTTCGAGTTTTGCCAATATTCGGGACCTTATGTCCTTATCTTTGCTAGAAGTCAAGCCTTGAACGAATATCAAACATTTAAATCGATCAATTGAAAGATCATGTCACATAAAACGTTCACACATTCTGTTAACATTTCCAGCATACGTAACAACATCCTCATCGTCACGCTTTACCATATTCAAACACGAAAACGAGTATGAAACAAACTAACTCGCCGCCAAAAATACTAGATAAAGTATTAACAGTTTCTTGAAAGAAATGTCAGCAGTTTTTCTTGAAGGACAAAATTTGTATACTTATTATTTTCATCTGTACCCAACTTTTGTAAAAGTAAACTCACTTTTTGTTCATCAGTCCAACATTCACATTTTTTTTCAAATATTGTTTCAAATCTTCTGAAATACGCAGGAAACGTTATACCCTCCTCTGGGTTAAATTTGAATTCAGTAATAGAATTAGCAATACCTTCGGCCGTGAATGACGAATTTACTGGATTCTTTCGTAAAATTGCTTCAAATAAAGCCTTTGAATCATTTCGCTGCTGAACTTGTAAATCCAATAGTTGTTCCCAAAACAATTTTTGTTGCTCTTGTTGCAATCTTTGTTGCTCTTGTTGCTGAATTTGATTCTGCATTAGAGTTTTCGTTAATGCAATCAAATCTTCCATTATGCGTAATAGATTACACAAAACAATTTTTGAAAACAGTCAAAAAAGGGAAAAACACATATATATCCAACAATAAGCACACGTCTTACTTCTTTTTGGCACGTTGAAATCCTATTTCTTCTTGAAGAACAAAGTTCAACGTATTGTTTTTTTTTTCTTTCAGTGCGAGAAAAAAAAAAATTATATAGTCCACCTAGAGTTGAAAAATTCTCCACTCAGCGTGATGAATGAATCTCTAAATCGCCACTGTTATGATGTTATTTTGGGGTTAATAAAGAAAAACGCCAAATAACATGTAACGATAAAAAGGGGTTTATTCCGTTGGTAAGTTGGTACAGATTATCGTCTGAGTAGTCTATAACTAACTCAGCCCAGAACTTCTCCGACACTGTCTTTTGACATGCCACTATTTAACGTCCTTGTTTGTAGACGAGTTCATCTTCAAGAGGGGTGGTAGGTTCCTACACAAGACCAATAGCACATAAGACAACAAATTTTCTAATTTCCAACAAACTCGGTGACTAATTGAGCTACTAAAATAAATTTGGTACCATTGTTTATGTTTTGCAAAAATCTATATGCCTATATTAAAAATTTTTAGATCAAAATAATATTTTGGTTTTGGATATTTACTTCTATCCATCAATTGGCTATTTTCTCATTTTTTTACTTTACTTTATTGCTGATAATAAGTACCAGTGACTTTTGATCTGTTATTAATTTAAGATAGTAAATTAGTAGGTAATTCTGCCATTTTCTTAGAGATTCCAAGGAAAGACCAAAGTATATTTTTATTATGTAATTAAGTTTTCTAATCCTTGTAGTTTGAGTGTGAACTCAAACTACAAGGATTAGAAAATTTGTGAGAGAATCAATTTCACTTTCTTGTCAGTTCTTTGATGTTTGTTTTGACAACAATAAATCTTTCTTCTTCTCTATCTCTTATGCTTTTACAATTTGTCCACTGCAGAAAACTCACACTCGTCTATGCGATGATCATAGGATCTTAAACAATTCTCCCTTTCCTCAGCAGTAATGTGATTTTTACATTCTTTCAACAATTGGAAATTTGTATCTTACTAGCAAAATCTCATATTTACAAGAATGTAATGTTCTTAAATATTCACCTTATGAGTGGCCATATTTTCTTTCTTTTTATTTCTTTGGATTTCTTTACACTTGAAAAATTCAAAATATTCATTCAAAATGTGTGAAGTCTTTGTGCTTTCCTTGAAAAATTCAAAATATTCATTCAAAATGTGTGAAGTCTTTGTGCTTTCCTTGAAAAATTCAAAATATTCATTCAAAATGTGTGAAGTCTTTGTGCTTTCCTTGAAAAATTCAAAATATTCATTCAAAATGTGTGAAGTCTTTGTGCTTTCCTTGAAAAATTCAAAATATTCATTCAAAATGTGTGAAGTCTTTGTGCTTTCAGTAAGTCATTCTTTTTCTCTTTATTTGCTTTTTCCTTCAGTTCCCCAACCACAGTCCTTTCTAGCATTTTCAAAAATTTTTTTTTTTTTTGCATAAACGTCTGGGCCAAAGTTACTATTAATAAAGTTAGCTTCTTTTTTTGCAGTAAAAACACATTGTTTTGGAAATTCTTGAAAAATTGTCAGATTTTAATGAAATTTTCAGACTTATTCACAAATGAATTAAATTATTTTGGAAATTTTTTTTTTTTAGAAAATCTTGGAAAAAATATTTTTACATCTGTTACCCCCACTTAATTTTATGAAATTTTGAGAAATTTAAATTCCAGGTTCTTCATATTTATATTAGTTAATAGCAGAAGTCCTTGAAGAAATTAAATCAAGTTGTTTTTGTCAAACAGAAACACCATTTACTAAAAATCTGCTCTCAATTGTAAAATAAAGAATCTAATAAAACTAAAATATTATTTAATTAGAAAAGCTTTTAATTGCTTTAATAAATAAAATACATTAATGACATTACTTAAGAAAAAAAAATTTTCAATGAGTAATGAAATTTTACAAGAATTTTTTCATTTTTTAAACTTAAAATTTGAATTAGATAATTTATTAAGTTATGAATCTTTTAAAATTCTGTATTAATTTCACCCTTTTAGCTGATATGATTATTAAGTAAAACTATATTTACTAATTGTAAATAAAAATGCTTAGTACAATTCATCAAACACAAATATTTTAAAAAGAATTTTCAATTTCTTTGTTCTGTATAAATGTGCCAATTTTTGTAGATACAGTCATCCATACCAGACATTATCAGAAAATAAGAGTGATGACTATAGTAAATTTAAAGTCAAAGTATCTAAAATTCACTAAAACAGAATACGGAGAATATTTTCCTACAAATTGAAATGTTACCAAAGATATTTTCAAAATCCAAAAAATTAACCAAAAGCCTAAAACAGTGTCTGCTTTCTCTCTAAAAGGCAGACGATACACATTCAAGTAGTTTTTATTAATTATAACAGCTACCATACTATTAAAAAATGTATTTCTGCAATATTTTAAACTTAAATAATATTTGTTTCAAATCAGATTAATTATACTTAAATCAGTTAATATTCCTCAAAGTTTCTGAAAAGTATATTTTAGTTTTGGAAGATTTTTTAATACAGAGAATTACATTGCAATAAAAAGGGTACTAATCAGCTATTTTAGCTAAAAATCAATTTAAATTAGTTTTGAAATATAGCAAACTATTTACAAAGTTTTAAAAATATGGGAACCAAGTATAATTTGATATGTATCATTTAGCTTTTATAAAGATTTATTCTTTATAATTTTATAAAGAAATAAATTTGAAAAGAAATCTTTTTATTAAAATATTTATTCAATTTTTACAAAATTACAAAAATTGTAACCAACTACAATAATAAATATCTTTTATTTACCATTTTATTTATTGATGAAGAAATCTTAAATGAAGAGTGAACATTAAGCACCTTGGCTAAAGCAATTAGTGAAACTGGCAAATACAGTTGTTTGGAATAGTTGGTAAAACATTGGCTAATTGCCAATTGATTTGAACTTTATAAAAAGGTAAATAATAAAGATTTCATTATATTTGATTCACTCATTTTTATAATTAAGTAAATGTTTATAAATTTAAGAATAAAAAATTGTTTTCAGTTTTATTTCTTTATAAATTGATAAATGATAAACATTTCATTGTATCAGTTGGTTCACATATTTTTAAAATGTTGTAAATATAAAATTAATCTTGTAAATAAACAATAAGTAAATAGTGTTTAATATCTTTGTTCTTAATTCTCAAGAAGAAAGTAAATGTATAAATTTACTTTCATAGGTTTGGGTCTTATTAAAATTCTGATCATTGCTTTTTAAAACAATAAAGATTGTTGAGGTAGTTGAGGGTGTAGTAGTGTCAGAAAGAGAAAAATCATCCTTTTGATACACTGTTTTGTCTGCAAAAATATCTAAAATGTTTTTTTGAAGACAAAAAGTTGAAACTTTGTCAACAATTCAAATTTTATTTTCTTTCTTTTAACATCATCATTCAAAACTATGAAAATTAAAATTATCATCATTTGATTCTATTAACATGTGAAATTAACCTAACAGTGTTGAAGATGTGTTGCCAAAAACAAGATATTATCATAGTGTCATTGTTTGTTCCTTTTGCTTTACAGACAAAATAATATGGATATTCTTTTTTTTTTAGTGGAGAGCAGAAATATCTCACAGTTTGTTTATATCAATAAATATTGCCTTTTTTCTTTTTTTTTTCACCCCCAAGGAAGATGATAATGCCACTAGTATACAGGGGATTACAGGAAATGAAAGAGAATGAGATTGGAGAGGATTGAAGAAAGGGCAAAAATAGAAGAGGGTTCCAGACGACATAAGATGGTGATTGACATTGCATTTAAATTTTTGAAAATTATAGTTATCAGGGAAGCGAGAAGTTCAAAGGGACTTCCACAGGTGGAAAGTGTGAGAAAAGGAACTGTTACATTTAGCTAGTTGAACAATAAAACAATGGGACCTAGTTGCCAATCAAGTAGCACATTTAAATTTATGTAGTCAGGACACAAGCGAAAAAGCTCCTCAGAACTGTTGCCTTGAAAATATTTGTAGGAAAGACAGAGGGAATCTATGTCATGTTGGTGAGAAAGTTGATATGACTGGTCAGGATTGATTACATTACAGACCTGAAAATTTAAGTTGCATAAAACAGAAAAGAGTTGGTATCAAAAATTTTATTTGCATATGAAAAATAATGGAATGTTTTATTTTTGTTTTTCATAGGAGTACCCCGATGGAAAAGCAGATCCTCAACTTAAACAAGAACCTGAAAAAGAAAATGGAGACTACTATGATTCTGTCAAAGTAATTTGTTGTTTAATCACTTTTCACGTTTATTTTGACTTAAAAATGATAGTAGGCCTATATGTTAAATGGTTTTAAATAGTGCACTTTTAAACATACTTGGTTGGAAAATATTTTTAAAGTAAAAAGACAGTAAATTTTGTCTTTCTGCTATCTCTCCTAATCTCTGTTTAAGGCCTTTGTAGCTCTTAGTTACAAAGGAAAGGAAATTTGGAGATTCCACATCTTGAAGAAGAACTTTCTTGCAACACATGTGTTTCTTAAACAAGATTTGTTCTCTTAGAAGCAGTTGATCAAAAATTATGCAGCAAATTAGAAATTGGATATTATATTTTGAATGTTTATTGTTTTAAATTAATTCATAAAAAGAAGACATGAAATAAAAGAGAGAAATTAAGTAAATGGTAAAATAAACTTTGGGTGATATTATTTGTATGAAATACAAGTTTTGTCTGGAAGAGTAATACTTTTGGGAAGTTTTATATAAGTTTAATCAACATGCCATATTTTGGATAATTGTATCAGGAAATAATAAAGATGCCATCCTAAATAAGTTCCATTCCAAGGTGGATGATTGAAGTAAATAATTTAACCATGCTGGTACTTGTATTTAGTACACAAGAGTACTAAATATATACTGATGGCTGACACTTTGAGTAGTTGTGATAAAAATCATCTAAAATTAAGATTAAAGGAATATTAATAAAAAACAAATGAATTATGGTAGGTACAAGAACTCCTACAGAAGAAAAGAATAAATATCAATTGCAAAAAGACGGAATGAATGGTTGTTAGCAAAAGGGATGAAAAGTATGAAAATTAGTGATACCAAAATCAAACTACAGTAATTTAAATATCTGGGAAGTGTTTTAACAGAGTACAACATTCCAAGAACTAAGCAACATATTAAGAAAAAAAATTTCATTAGAAACAAAAGAAGTATTGAAGTGTTATGTAATATCAGTCCTCCTATATGTCAGTGAATGCTGGACAATTTCCTTAAAAATGAAGAACATACTTAAAGCCATGGAAATGTGGTTCTACAGAAGGATACTGAGAATACCATGGACTGAACATGTGAGCAACAACAGAATTTTAGTGAAAGTGGAAACAAAAAGGACAGTGATACTTAACATTAGCAAGAGATAGTTTTTAGGGAAAATAATGAGGAAAGAGGGTTTGGAAAATTTGATACTCACTGGAGTGATTGAGGGCAAAAGGGACATCATAAAATGGCACATGACCTATATAGTGAGCTTATGTAAGTAGATGACAGAACAAGGTTTAGGAGAGATAACAAAAAGACAAAATTTATTAGGAGTTACAAAGGACAGGAAAGAGAAATGGCATATAGAAGACAAAGGTCTGTTAAGATGCAACCAAGATATTTTTAATTTTGGTTTTTTAAGTTCCTTCTTTATTTTTTCTTTTAAATGTTGGTTGAAGAGAAACTGCCAAGTTGGATAACAAATGAAATTTCTTTTTTAGTCAAACAAGGAACTCATCCCACTTGTATTTGTACTTACAAACCATTGAGGCTAGCTAGTGAATTTTTTATATGTTTTCATCATTAAATCATACATACATATAAATTGTATGACTTGATTAAGTGTTTTGCTTTCATTTGACCACACTTAAAACTAACATATTAGTTTGAATGTAATGTGATCCTATGTAGTGTCATCATGTTGCTGAATATGTTGGCATCATGTTTTTATATTTTTATAGAATTTATCATCTTTAAGGAGAAGGGATTTTCATTCCTCATATTATTTGTTTTATAATATATAACAAACCTTTTTTTAAATTTTTCAGGGAAATATGGATGGCTTCAATGAATACGTAATATACGATAATCGCAGGTGCCTAATTAATTACAGAATTGTCCTTGAAGGTACTGAAGATGAAGACAGCGACAAAGAAGATGAGATTGCAAAAGAAGAGAAAAAAGAGGAATTTATGGAAACTTGGAAACGTCATATGAATTACTTGGGTATATATATATATATATATATATATATATATATATATATATATATATATATTTCTATTCAGAAATATTTTTTATTATTATTTTCCTATATTTTTTCTTTCTATTCAAGGCAACTCATTCAAAATTAATATGTGGCACATTGAGAGCAGAGAGGTCACATTTTAGCTTGATTTTATACCTGAGCCTCAACTGTCCAACGACTGTCTTTTATAGTAAATATGCTGGACTTTCCCGTCATGTTTGATGTGTGTGTGTGTATAGGCTCTACTTATGCATTGAGCACTGTTTTTAAAAAATAAAGACAAAAATACTAAAGAACTTCAGATTATTAACCTAATGGTTCTTTCCTATTTATCTATATATTTGCACACACACACACACACATACATATATATATATATATATATATATATGAATAATTCCCTTAAAATAAAAAAGATTCCTAATAATTCTGATTAGCTGCATAAAGGATGCCCTATATACAGCCTTTGGTGCTGACATGTTTGAACAATTTGTGGTACAACATTTATACCCTGAAAAATCTCTTGATGTTTTTCTGGCAGGGCTACACTCTCACTTCTGTTTGGTGGTATACCAAAACAAGGCTTAATATGCACTTACCATTGAAGAGAAGGGTTGTTACTCTTCACCACTATTTGGTGAAATTGATGTGCTGGGTGTTGTTGTCTGGATGCTATCAGCATACATCCTCAATCACTGCTCTGTTATCTTCCAACCAAATCCCCGTAGCAAGGGAGCTTTGTCAACCTATAAATTGCTTTCCTCGCTGGTAGTGCACCACTCTCCCTTCACGGTATTACTCTGCTTCACTAACAATAGATTTCATGATGAGTGGCAGCACATTCATACCAAAACCAAGCTGCATGAGGCAATACATTTGGCCCTTAAATACCACAGTCTGATATGGCCACAATGATTCGGCAAGAATGCTCTTCGCTTATATCAGTTACATGCTCGCACATGTAAATCACCAACAGTGTTTTTTAAGTCTTTCTCTCACATATGCACCATGATAGACTTATAAATGATGACCATAATCTCACTTCATTGTAAGAATGTGTCTACCACTGGTGGATGATAAGGACGACCACTGACTGATAGTAACTGATCAATCAAGCAGAGGTTATGGTGAAGAGTATCAGCAGGTTGAAGCAGAAAATGTTGAAGAGACAAGAGAGCCTGATGTACTAACACTTTGGACAAGGTCAAATTTAATTTGTGGTTCCTGAGCCCATAGGCTTGGACAAAAAATCCCCATAGACCCTGCATAAACAGGATCGGGTTGGTCTACCTCCCCGAACGAGACTCTGCCCTTCGGCATAGCCTTGTCTGGGTTCCTCTCTGCCCAAAGGCAGAGAGTTCGACCAGCACAGCTGAAAAAGTTTTCAGCTAGAATATTTGTCAACTGCCCCATGTGGTTGGATGTGGCACAAGGCTGAATTTGCTGTGGGGTATCCAAGCCCGTAGACTCGGGCAAAAATTTTCCGTAGACCCCATAAAAACAGGGTCGGGTCGGTCTACCACCCCAGATGAGACTCTGCCCTTTGGGTTCCTCTCTGCCTGAAGCCAGAGAGTTCAACTGTATAGCTGAAAAGATTTCAGCTAGACAATATCAACTAGCCCCCCCTACAAGGGTAGATGTGTCACAAGGCTGAATTTAATGTGGGGTTCCTGAGTCCATAGTCCCGGCCAAAAAGTCCCCATTGACCCCGCATAAACAGGATCAGGTTAGTCTACCTCCCAAATGAGATTCTCCCCGCATAGCCTCATCCAGGTTCCTCTTTGCCTGAAGGCAGAGAGTTCGACCAGCACAGCTGAAAAGATTTCAAGCAGACTCTGTAGTCTGTTGACTTATAGATACTTATAAGTAGTTAATACCTATAGTGTAGTCACTCATGGGGGTGACAGGTTATACCATTACATCACTTGTGCCTTATGACTAATAAAAAGCCTTGGTCCTTGAGAAATGTGCTCTTAAACTGGTTCCTGTTCTCTCTAAACTCTACAATAAATGCCTTGCTGCTTCTTGCATTCTTGCATGTTGGAAATCCTCTTCTGTAGTTCAAGTCTAAGAACTCAGGAAAACTGTATGATCCTTCTACCTACCAGCCTAATAGCTTACTACTTCTTTTTGGCAAAGTGCTAGAGGCTCTAATCAACTCTGAATTGGTTAAAGATCTCATTTTGTCGGATCTTCTTCCAGACAAGCAATATGGCTTTTGCTTCTATCGGTCCTGCTGATATGTTAACGGTTATTACGGAAAGGTTCTATTGAAATTTAGATAAGAATGGTGAAATGTAGGCTATTGCTTTCACACTGTAATTTCTTGCATCTTAGTGGCTTTATTTGCTTGCTTAGGGTAAAATGATTTACCATTGATATTAAGTTTTAAATGTAATATCCATCATTTAATAACCTAACATATAAAATCAACCAGCCTAACAAACCAAAATGAAAGTGTTTCATATTTAACGTACTTTGCCATTTTTTGCAGTTGACTCATGCAAACATGATGATGAAGAGGATGCAGAAGTAGAGAAAGAAATCCGTAACATTGAAAAAATTCGACTTGAGATTCGCATGAGACGAGAAATGAAAACAGAAAAACCACTGAGTAAATTGTCTTATGTAAGTAAAGTATATGCAATGTTTTTAGGAAACATACAAAAAACATTCCAGTTGATTGTATTGAAATATGTTCCTAATTATCACATAGCATTTTCATTATAATTTCCCCCCTTAAATATACATTTATCTCAAACATAGTTTTGGAATGGAAAATATCTAAGGTTTCAAGTTGGAATATATTTTTTAAATCATTGCTTTTAACAGCATTGAAAATAAAAGAATGAAATAAAAATACATTTGGCAAAGATGAGAAATAGTTTTATTTAAAGCCTCCTAATGTTACAAACTCTAAATATTGATTGAAGAAGCAGACATATTGAAATAAATTGTCAAAAGATATAGATGGTATAATTGCTTTTAAGTGACCTTCTTTTCAGTCAACTCTCATGAAAAAAGATTGTTCAAAATTTGTTGAAGCATAAAAAGACTTACATGAAAAACAGGTAAATGCTTCTTTTAAACCATTTTACATATTTTAATGTTTATCAACAATCCTCTTTGATGAGAATTGATTGAAAAGCTGGCAGCTGAAAAGAAATTCTGCTATAATAAATAATGTTTCTGCAGAATTGTAATAGACAAGGTTAAAGTATTTTCTTCTTATTGGATTGGTATTTGTTAACGAGGAGGATCAGAAAAATCAACAGCACCAAAATCAAACACTAAAGATGCTGTATACTGAATCACAATGAGCAGGACACAAACAAGACATCTCCCCAGGAATACCACACTTATGGGATGAATGTAGTCGAGACACCAGAAACATAAATAACTAACACTGTCCCAACTGTTTCCTGGGTAAGCTGGTAGACACTTTCTTCATAACTCCAAGGGTTCCCACAATAAATGTCATCTCTTTGACCAGAGGAGGTGTGTACCATTATCAGTAGTGGTTGGCAGCTCTGTCAACATTTCATTTCCGCTACACTTCCCACTGATCTCATGATCACGTATGTGGCAATCTGGGGCTGGTCTTTGTCGCTGCATGCTTCTTCGTAGTGGCATGATTGCAGCTTTTCCTCTGGTTGACTGGACCTCGAAATGGTTGATAATAATTACCCCATCTTGTCATCCTAACAAACCGCAGTCATTGAGTGACAAGTAATTCCTACCATGACAAGCTTACTGCGAAATACATTGTCAAAGAGTATCAGAGTTGGTGGGCTATGCTCACAGAATAGGGCCTCTAAATGGTTGATAATACTTGCCACATTTTTGCCGTTTCAACAAACCACAGTCAACAAATGACAAGTAATTCCTACCTTTGTAGTGGGTTATGCCCAGTCCCATTCTGCACCACTTGTCACTGACATCCAATTCTCCTTTCATCCAATGTGCAGGTAGTGAGTCAAATCGACTGACACTCCTTGCATTTCTTCACAACTTCTTTCACTGATGGCTTAGAGACTGTGGAGTTGACCTTCCTGACAAAGTACATCCACCTTACACTAGGATGACCATTTCATCTATTGACTTGTTCGTTGATGCAGCACAAATGTAGTTTTGGAGCTTAGCTAATTTTTTTGATCAAATCAATCCAATACTGTGGCACTCCCATCAGACTTTGAGCTTGGTTATATCCGCCAAAAATTTATACTCTTCGTCCAGATTTTTGAGCATATTGAGCCATCATCTGACAAACATTTTGCTTGCCACTTTCATACATATCCTGGCCTTTCCTGTGAGGGTGTCCATGATTTATTTTTATGCACAAGCAGTCAGTGAAAATGTTCAACACTGTTGTTTCCCCATGCCATATTGACATTTTAAAAAAAAAGTTTTTAGCTCTGCTAAATTTATATGCTGTACATCTTTCTCTTTGGGCAACCAGCTTGCATCTTCCACAGTTGGTTCATTATGCTCCAGTGAGCCACCAATATCCAGAGTGCTTTCATCAACCCACATATTAATCTTGGGCCTATCAACACACCATTTGCCTCACACAGGGTTCTCTTGGTGCACTCTTACAATGACTTTTATCATTGTGGTTAAAGGAGCATCATCCACCTTATCTTCCCTGCTGCTGCTGCTAACCTCTTAATGAATTCTGCTGTTACTCTAAGCCATCCACCTATTGGAAACTACCCAATCAGTTTTCTGCACAGTGAGAACACACTACGTTGAGTCATGCTGGGGACCTTTTTCCCATCACTCCTCCCAGATTTTCAAGTGAAGCACTTGCAGTCTTTTGTTCATTCCATTTCCTTGCTCACCAGCCCAAAGTTTACCAGATTTTGCTTCACACTGGTTGAAAATACTATATTCTCATTGATGTAGATATTATCAATGTATGCCAATGTTGCTTGGTGGATAATCTCATCTTTCGATAATACAGCATCTATAATGGCTCACATGATAGATGGTGCCACTTTGAGTCCAAAGCCCATATGTCTCCTCTCTCCTCAATAATCAGTTTGGTATGGCTATGGCTATGGCTACAAGGATCACTGCACTTGGGGATCAATTACTGAAACACTGGATCTTTTTTTTCGACATTCTCTCAGTTTTTGTGCACAAGTGTCATCATGGTCTGTGTATGCATCAACATGTCCATTCAATTCATGAGAGTCCAATACAGGATGCACATTTTTCTTATTTTGCTTCAACTGAATCAAGCCCTTTGGTGGGCCAAGTTGCTTCTCAGGATAAGGAAGAAGCCATCCATTACCCAGCCACATCTGCATCTCATGCTGGTTTGCATGTGAGCAGAGATTGGATATTCATGTGTCAAATTATTGGGTGGTTGGGAAATTCTGAACATGTCTTCTACCTACCATATCCTGTTTCTAAGTGAACAAAATGGTTTATATCCTTCCTTTTATACCACTGATTGCCATGCTATCTAATGGACACTGAGAAATGTCCACTGACATACAAGATAGAGTAATCTATGCCACAATGCCTCATGTATCTTTTGACAATTTCAACATGTCACCACTTTTTTAAATAGGGTGAGTAAATAAAGAGTATGAAAGGCTACATTATACCCTCTCTCTGTCATGTCTTAGTACCTTCCCCATTGCACTAAAGAAAGAACATCAGTAGAATTTCAACAGTAGTGCTACAGTGGTCATGGATGCCCCACATAAAAACTACCATGTGCCGAGTCCTTGAGGGGTGGGGGATGTTAGTCAGAAAATAACAAGCTTGCCACCTTTTTGTTGGCTGGTGATATTACATATCTCTCTTGTGTCTCTGTCTTCGGACAAAGTGCAAAAAAAGAATTGAGGAATGTTTGGTCTCAAGGATTATAAATTTGTGGCAGCAACTCCCTCATTGCATTAATTTCTAATCACAGACAAAAAGAAATTAAAATCTAATCACAAACATTTTTTTAAATTTTTGTCAGGATTTGCTGCGTGAAGAGAGAAAGAAATGGAAATCTTCTATTTTGAATGCTGAAAACAAATCCGTGAGTAAGGTTTTTTTTTTCTTTATTTCTTTTACTTTAAAATTGTATGTTGAATACAAAACTGTCATAGAATGTTTATTGGTACATTTAATTAATATTAATTATATTAACAAAGTAACTAGATGTAAAAGTCAGAATACCACACATACACATACATATAATCTAGATAAAAACAGACATATAATAGTACTTAACATCTACTATCCTCAAAATATTATACAATCTTAACAATATCAAAAAAAAATACAACCACATCCAAAACTATTATGGATATAGTCAGAACCAAAAATACTCCTAACAATAATAATTCTTAAGCATGTATATATAAAATAAATTGTCACAACTGCTCTTCACAATACATTGGGAAAACTTGCAGAAATTTAAAAAAACATATCTATGAACACAAAAAGGATCTTATACACAACAATTTATCAAATGTATTTGTTATAGATAGAAATAAATTCAATCACAACTTTGATCTAATGAATGCCACACTTCTTAAAAGAGAAACTAACTTACTTAGACAGAATTTCCCAACAGTGCCATTATCAAATCTTATCAAGCCAATATACATGAGTATAAAAATGTTAAAAAATAAAAAAAAGTAAACAGTTAAATACATAACCTCCTGTTTTGGAGTGTGTTGTGAAGTTCAAGTTAGCACTAGTCAGCTGCTAAGCTCGTACTTGCTAGTGGTAATTCTCAGTAACCACTTATGCAAATTATACATACTAATTTGCTAGTATCACTATATCTCCCTAAAGCTTAAGGGCTTTATTCCTCTCATAGCTCTTGTACTCCTTCTGATATTTTCCTCACTCTGCTCTCTTTCTCTCTCCCCTGTATTTCTTTCCCTGGGAGACCTCGATCTGTCCTGGTCTAGGCTGTAGTCACATGTGTCCTCTTGCATACTCTGGTCTTCATCTGAATTTTCAGAGTCCTTTTGTCCCTCTTCATCCTGCATCATTTCCTCTGACGTTTCCTTGTATAATGGTTGTTCTATCAACTTATTATCAGATGAAACTGACATCTCTTCGTCATTTTGTTCTTCCTTTTCACCCTGGGTCCTTATTTGGTCAGCATGGGCCAACACACTATCGCCATTCTCTCTATTTATTATGGCTGTATTGTGGCCTTTTTGCATTATAAACTTTGCTCCTTCCATATCTGCATCCTTGCTCATTTTATACCACATCTTTTCACTTGTAGAGTATGACATAGTTAGCAGAGCTCTAATCTGTCTCCCCATTAGAGTTGATGCGCTTTCGAGTCTTCCAATTGGTGGTATGGTCCGATAACTTAAAAGCATCCTCGGTAGAAAAACTTCTACTTTTTTTCTTTTTGTTGAGAGCATGCTTTCAACCCCTTTTTACAGTCTGAACCATCCTTTCTGCTATTCCATTTGATTGAGGGTGATATGGAGGAGGTTTATATGGTTTACACCTATTTTCTCTAAGCATACATTAAGTTCTTCCTTGCAAAATTCTGCATTATCCGATACCAAGGTTTTTGGTACACCATTTCTAGAGGATACGACTCTTAGAATTTGCTTTATAGTGGAACTTTTTTGTTTGTAACCCTTATTATTTCAGGCCAACCTGAAAAAGAGTCTACTAATATTAATAAGAGTCCCACATATGCATGATCCATATGGACCCTACTCCATAGCTCCACTTCTTTGGGCCATGAATGTAACTTGGTTTGTGTAAAGTTTCTTAACTCTTTACATTTCTTACACCTCTTTACATAATCCTCAACGTCTCTTGAATAACCCAGCCACCAAGCTTCTAGTTTTATCCTTTTTGTGTGGCCAACTCACACAGTGTATATCATTATGTACACTCTCTATTAGCGGCTTTCTTTGTGTTTCTAGGGGAACTACCAGGTCCCCATTGCATATTACTCCATGTTCTATTGTTAATTTATGCCTCATTTCTTTATAAGGTCTTTCCGCCCTAGAACAATTTCCCCATGAATTTTTTCTTATTCTCAATAGTATCCTATTTAGCACTGGATCATGACTCGTTTCTGCAGCTATTCTGTCTAAAGACAAAACATCAGTCTCTATCAAGTGTAGGAAGGAATCTTCAAATTCTTCCTCCGTTTTGTCTTTTGACTCCTTGTAAAATCTCAATCATGATAGTACGTCCACATGTGGAATTGAATTTCCTTTGACATATTCTATATCAAAGTCAAATGCCATCAATCTCATCGCCCATCGTAGAATCCTTGATGTCGTGACTTTAGATAATTCTTTCCTTGGGTTAAATATATACTCCAATGGTCTATGATCACTTCTTAGTAAAAAATTTTTTCCAATTAAAAATTGTCGGGCTCTGGTAGTTGTCCACACAATAGCCAATGCTTCTTTCCCTATGTTCGAGTAATTAAATTCAGTGTTCGTTAACCTTCTCGACAAATACATTATTGGATGTCCTTCGTGTGATAACATTCCTGATATTGAATGTTCTCTTGCATCTGTAGTGAGTATTATGTCCTTTTTTGGATCAAAAATTTTCACTACAGGTTTCTTTGACATTATTTCTTTTAATGTTTCAAAAGCTTTCCGCTATTCGCCTGACCAGATAAATTCTACATTCTTTTTTCTTAAATTTGCAAACTGTTCTGTCAAGTCCATGTATTTTGGTAAGTATCGCCTGTAAAAATTTACCAATCCCAAAAAAGACTCCAATTCTTTTTTATTTGTAGGTGTAGCTACTTTTAGAATTTTTTCTATCAAGTCTTGGTCTGGTGATATACCTTCTTTTGAAATGGAATAACCTAAAAAAGATATTTTGTTAGAATTGCTTACGCATTTTCTTTCATTTATCATCATTTCAGCATTTCTTAATCTATTCAAGACTAAGTCAGTTTTCTCTTTTAATTCCTTTTCATTAGTAGCTCCTATGCATATGTCGTCTTGGTAACAAACCATATTTTGTACCTTTCCTAAAACCTGTTCAATGGCCCTTTGAAATATGGCGCTTGCAGTTTTTATACCATATGGCATTCTCTTCCATCTTAGTAACCCTATTGGCATATTTATCATGGTTACTTCTTTGAAGTTTTCATCTATTGGTATTTGGTGGTATGCCATTTTTAAATCTATTTTTGAAAAAACAGACATCCCTGCCAATGCATGTAATGCAAGTTCAACATTGGCTATAGGATATGAATCCGAGCATATCTTGTGATTTACTCCTATTTTATAATCTCCACAAATACGTATTTCCTCAAAACCACAATCGGTGATGCCCACTTGCTAGCTCCAGGAAGAATATGTTCAAAAAGGTCTTGTTCTACTAATTTACGTAGTTTTGTCACTACTAACGGCAATAAATGTACTGGTAATTTTCGTGCCTCATAATAAGAGGGGGAAACATTTTCTTTTATTTTTAAACTTGCTTCATAGTTCTTTAACTTTCCAGTTTTTTCCATTTTTATTTCATTAACTTAGTAGAATTCATGTTAAAAACATCATTTCCAATAAGGCCATGGTTTTTCTTTGCAACTTGTAACAATTACAGGAATTACTTCAAATTTTTCTTTTAACTCCAATGAACCTTCGAAGTATCCTAATATTCTTATAACAGATCCATCAAAATGGCAGAGTTGTAAATTGCTTTTTTCGTAAAGGTGGCTTACCATGTGTTCCCCAAAATTTTTGGTATCAATGTTACTTCACTCCCAGTATCCATTTGCATATCTAAATTGCAGTTATTAATCTTAACCTTTACTATAATGTCTTTTTTCTTCTGTTCAAAAGTCTTATTTTCCACCGTAAAAACTTCCCTGTCGGTGTCGTTTTCTTCAACTCTTTCCACATTTTTCTTTTTTAATTTACACACTGCTTGAAAGTGGTTCTTTTTTAAACAATTATTACAAGTTTTCCCAAATGCTGGACACTTTTCCTTTTCCATTTCTTCTCCACTTCCACAATATGAACACTTTTTTATCTTGTTTACCACGTATGTATCAGCGAATCTTTGTTCGGTGGGTTGACTTTTATAATGGTGGTATATCTGTATTAGCTCTTGTTGCTGCATAAATTCAATACAAGAATTTAAAGACATCTTTCCTATTTGTAACTGTTCCAATATTTTACAACGGTGTGATGCATTGGACATACCTTCAATTAGTCTCAATTGAATAAAGTCCTCTTCAATGGTCTTTTGTCTTGTCCGAGTTTCTCAAATTCACAATATCTACTTGCATTTCGTAGATGGAGTAAATATTTTATAATTGGTTCATCAATTTCTTGTTTCGTTGACATGAATTTCGTTCTTTCTGCCACTACCAGCCTTTTCTTGTGTCTCATATTTCTTCTTATAATCTGACTTATTTTTTCGAAAGTCAGGTCTTCCAAATTTAAGGGATATGCCATGGTGGAGACTTTCATTATCGCCTCGTATCCAGCTGTAGCCAAAAATAAATCCGTGATTTCATTTTCGCCTCCATTTTCCTTGTTGTCTTTCAACTTTTTTGTTCTCGCAGTGGCAAAGAAGCAACGAATCCAAGTATCGACAAATTCTGGATCTTCCAGAGACAATTGATATCCTATCGGTGACGCCATTCTTGTGAAGTTCAAGTTAGCACTAGTCAGCTGCTAAGCTCGTACTGATATTTATTCGTACAAGAAGTACAAATTGTGGCACAAGGCTAAAAAGGGGAGGGGTAGAGGCTGGTCAACACTAACTATCTTATACCTAGCTAATCAGATTCACTACCCATTCATACATTACAATTTACTCATTCACCACAAGAACTCATCCATCACCGTTCAATCTGCCATCCACCATAATACCACATCCTCTCCAGGGGAACCTACAAAAACGCCCCACGCCATAAAAATTTGATAAAGATATACAATATACCTAAAATTCTAATAGTGATAAAATGAGAGGGGAGAGGAGATGAACCCAATAATAAACTAAAATCAAAACAAAATGCAAACTAAATATAATTGATGTTAGTAGGGACCGTCCAACCTCAAAAAAAAA